GGCTTCGAACCGTGCACCTCTGGGATTGTAGTTGCAGCTCCTTACCACTAGGCCACCAGAGCTCCCCAGTATTAGTATTATTTCTTAACCATTGCTTGTTGAAAGTGAGGGAGACTTGAAATGCTTGTTGCAGAAGATAAAAGACTACAGCCTTCAGTATGGATTGCAATTCAACATCAAGAAAATAAAAATCCTCACTACTGGACAGAGAAGCAACATCATGACACATAGAGGAAAACATCATAGTTTTTCATCTTACATGGGCTCACAATCAACCAGCAGTCAGGAGATGAGAGATATCGCATTGGTCAAGTCTGCTGTCAGGGATCTTTTCAAATTACTTAGGAGCAATAATGTCAATTTGAAAAGTAAGGCACACATGATTCAGGTAATGGTCTTTTAAATCCCTTGCTATGCATCTGAATAAAGATGGCAAAAGAAGAATTGATGCCTTTGAGTTTTGGTGTCGGAAAAGAATACTAAACATTCCATGGAATGCCAAAAGAACAAACAGATAAATCTTGGAGAAGGTGCAACCAGAGTGCTCCTTGAAAGCAAAGGTGACAAAGCTTCAACTCATATACTCTGGGCATGCTGTTAGGAGAGGCTATTTCTTGGAAAAGGATATGTTTGATAGAGGGGCTGGTGTGAGAGATGAAGAACTTCAATGAGATGGACTGACACACTGCAGCTGTGGGTTCAAGTGTGTCCGTCATGATGAAGATGGGACAGGGTTCAGATCTATTGTTTAGGTCGCAGAGTTGCAGTGAATTTGATGGCACCTAACAACAACAACAGTTTTTACCAGAGAAGAGAGCTTTTCTTGAATGTAAACTTCCCTTTACTAAAAATTCAAATAGTAGAGCAGTGTCTCTGTCTTCAAAAGCCCCTCAAATAATGTCACCACTCCCCCTGACACACATCAAGAGAAATGCCTCTCAGTGCAGCTTTTCCATGGTGAAGGCTCTGGGCCGCAGCAGGAACTTCTTAGGCCACTCGATTCATGATGATGACACCTATGAGACATCAGAAGTCCAGCTGCTGCTTCTCTAGAGGAACAGCAAAGGTTTTCACAGTAGAAGATGGTGGGAAGGGAGGGAAGACCTTGATGACGTTCCGTGAACAAGGGCTAGTGTGCCTGGTCTGAAACCATAAAGTAAGGAACACTAGATGCAGAAGCAACAGGATGGCTGGGACTTGGAAATACACACAGAAAGTTGACTTGACAACAAGCAGCTGCTCCCTTAAGTGTTGTGATAGGTTTAATTCTAAGATGCCCCCTACACACCAGATTTACTTCTCCTAGTATACTTGACTTATATAATACCCTCCCTTTGTGAGAAGTAAATCTATATATTGTGAAATCAGAAAATGGATCAGTTGACTGAGTTAATCAAAAGGAAATTGCCCTTGATGGACCTGACCTAATTAGGTGAAGTCTTTTCTTGGGGTAGTTCAAGTACCAGAGAAATGTTCTCTAGCTAGCCTGAAGAAGGAAGCTACAGTGTTGTGAGAGGGCTTGAGGAGAGGGGCATATGACAGTGATCTAAAGGTGATCTTTAAGAACTGTTAGGTGGAGAAGACTATAGGGAATTGGGCTGCTAATCCAAAGGTAGAGCTTTTAGTGGCTCCATGGGAGTAAGATGGGCCACCACCATATGATTTACGGCCTCTGAAAACCCACTGGAATGTCAGCTGATTTGATAGTAATGTTTTTGGGCTGAGTTTTCTTGTGGTTTTTGTTAGTATTTTTAAAAGTGATTGTTAGCTGAAGAAAAATGAGGAAAAAGGAGAATTCAGTTCTAAATTTCAGGTTAACTGGTTTCTGCCAAAATACTTGAATGAACTTGGAGAAGACTCCAACGTCTAGACAGGGCTGATACCTTGACTTCAGCCTTGTGAGACCCTGAAGAAAGAACCCACTTATACTCACTCTTTTGACCAGAAGAAATTGGATGTGGTTATAAGTTGCTAAGTTTGTGGTACATTGTTATGCAGTAATTGAAAAGTATTACAGGTGGTGAAGGTTGAGAGTTTCCCTCGAGGTAGGAGGTATTCAGCATTCACTGAGAGTCCACCAAAGATTGCTTTCAATGGTGGTGGTGTGAGGGTAGAAAGAAGTTTCTGCAGTCAAGAAGTCTAAGTTCTACTCTCTGTCCCACTATTTATTAGCTAGGGAATTCTGGTAGTGTAACGTGTTACACTGCCAACCCTAAGGTCACACGTCTTTGCTGATTTGAAGCCCCTGGGAGCTCTGAGTGGAAAGGATGAACAATCTTCTGCTAAGAAAGCTGACTGAGAGTCACTATGGCTTTGAAAGTTGGACAAAACTTAAGGATGACAGAAGACGAATCAATGCCTTTGAGTTATGGTGTTGGAGAAGAGTGCTGACTATCCGATGGACCGCCCAAAGGAAAAACAAGTATGTCTTAGAAATGGTGCAGCCAGGATGCTCCTTGGGGACAAGGGTAGTAAAACTTCATCTCACATACTTTGAGCATGTTGTTAGGAGGGGCCAGTCCTTGGAAAAGGACATCATGCTTGGAAAGGTAAAGGGTGAGCAAAGGAGAGGAAGAATCTCAAGCAGATGGATTGACACAGTGACTGTAATAATGGGCTCAAGTGTGTCAGGAGATGATGAGGGTGGCGCAGGATAGGGCAGGGTTCAGATCCATTGTGCTTAAGGTCGCTATGAGTCATAGTTGACTCAACAACACTTAATAACAACAGCAGGAATTGGAATCAAAGAGATTTATTAGCAGAATCATTCTTGACAGCAATGATTTTTTTTTTATTCTTTGGCAAATAATGTCTACTAGGAATATTTCTTTTAGGGTTAAAAGTCTTAGATGAGTTAACAGTCAGTAGCACACAGTGGCCACATGATAGTTATAAATGCACATTTAAAAAACAAAACAAACCAACAACAACAAACACTCCAGTAGCCAATCTAAAGTAGTGAGAGATTTTCCTCTCACAGCAAGGACACGTTTGAAACCCAATGGAACAGATGCAAGCGCTTTCTCAACTATTGGAACCCTGACCTTATCCTAACAAGCAGTGGGTAAGTGTTTAACTGCATAAGAGGTTAAGTGCTTTTCTGAAAGGTCCTCAGTTTGAACCTTTCAGCTTCTCAAAGAGAAATATGTGGTAATTTGCTTTTGCAAAGATTGTACCTTTTGAAAGTTTTATAGGACTAGACAGTAATGGGTTTAGGTTTTGGATCTCACGTTGAGTTTCCAGGCTTTTAAGAGGTAAGAGATTTGAGAATATTAATTGAACTGCAAGAGCTGTCAAAGTTTCCACAGCTGTCCTTTAGTTAGGCTAATGGCAGGTGAGGGTAGGTGCTTTGAAAAAGAGTCACAGCTCCTCTGAGTCATGGTATTGTACGGAGGTATGTCTTGGAAAAGGTGCAACCAGAGTGCTCCTAGGAGGTAAGAATGGCAAAATTTTCTCTCTCATCCTTTGGACATGTTGCAAAGAGACACTATTCCTTAGAAAGAGACATCATACTTGCAAAGGTGGAGGGTGAACCTAAGAGACCTCACCCACAACGAGCTGGAACGAGATAGCGACTACAGTAGTGGGCTCAAGCGTATCAGATGGTGAGGATAGCATACGAAAGAACAAGCGATGAGGGTTGTTTTGACTCGAAGGCACCTGACAACGAAACCACAGGCTTAGTGGTAAGAAGCTGCACTGCCAACCCAAAGGCAGGTGAGGCACTGAGCTGCTCTATGGGAGAAAGATAGACAATCTCCTGTGTGATTTTTTTTTTTTAAATCCTAGAGGTCAACTATGAGTTCGTTGCCACTGTATGCGACATAGTAAGAACAAAGTCACAGTGAACTCTAGTGGCACAATTCATATAGGTACCTTTGCTGCTAACCCAAAGCACACGACTCTCGGCTCTGGCAGTTGGAACCCACTAGCCTCTGACGGGAGAAAAACAAGCAATCTCCAGGGGGATTTATACCCTCCCAAAATCTGCTGGAGGGTCACCTATGAGTCCGCTCTGGCTCAGTAAGTAATACAAGAGACTCAGTCACAGTGTTCGGGATGAAAAAGAGGGCAGCTGTTGAGACCCGAGAGAGGGAACGAAATGAGGAAGACGGGTCTGAATGTTCAGCCCTTCTTTCTTCAGTGGTCCGCCAGTTAGGGAATGTACTATACCAAGACAAACTCAACACTGGGTGACAGTGAGATAAATTCATGCCCGAGAAAGACGATCTACAAGGTTTCAAAGTCAGGGCATATTTAATGAAACGTATAAGTATTGGCATTTGATAAACTCCCATTTCTGTGATGGCCGATCAAGGGCCCTTCTGTAGTGGGTGCGATAGGCGTTGGGCCACAAACATCCAGATAAAAATCGCAGAACTGTGGATATGGTAACTCAATTACCAGCAATTATCTAATTTCCGAACCTGTCTTCTTTTCTGTAAAGTGAAATGATTGTGCTTAACTTTTAATGCTTGTTGGCTGTAGTATAAAAAGTTCATTTTAAGGTCGCTCACATAGTTTTTATGCATTCATTCTCAATTTACGCTCAAACTTTGATAGCAAACAAAGATTATTCTTTTTTTTAAATTTAGGTTGTTTATTTTTCATTTCAATGAACATCTACAGAGATATTCTTATTATAATTTGCTGTCATTATTTATTGTTCCCATTTTAAAGAGAGAGCCTCATGAGACGGACTCGAACCATATCTGCCCCTCACCTTCTTCCCATCCTTGCTCCATGATGGCTGCTGTAGGTCACAAGACTAGAGCGAGCGGAGCCGAGAAACCACTTAATTTGTCCTTAGCGTGCCGCCGTAGCCGCTGCGGCCGCGTGGTTCTCTCTGCTGCGGAGGCACGAGCAGTACAGTGGGAGGGTCCTGGCGTTCCTCCCACCGTACGTCAGTGCGTGAGCCCGGCCTCTGAGAGCTCCGGAACAGCCGGCGCGCTCACACCCGGCTTCGCTTCAGCCTCTTTCGACTTGCCGCCATCGCTGTCATGCTGGCTGCCTCTCTCCGCCGCTGCGTCGCAGCCGCAGCCTCCCGGGCCGGCCCGCGAAGCCTTCTGCACTCCGTCCCGACCCCCAGCTCCGCCGCCGGTAAGGCCCCCTCCTGCCATTGCCCGCTCCCGCGTGTCCTTGCAGTGACCTGGGGCCCCGCCGACACTCGAGGGCAGGCTCCCCCCGCGGCCTAGCCGGTGCCCTGCGTGCCAGTGGCGGTTCCCAGAGACCGCAGGTCCGCTCTGTATGCTGCCTCGATTTGTGGGGGACTCGAGTTCGTGCCCACGCGGCCTCTCTCAGCGCGGTTTCATGGCGCGGGCATCATGGTTTGATCAGGTTCCGCCAGACACAGTAGTGGGCGCCGCGATCCTGGACACCCCCGCTTCTTGGTGTCAACCGGCACCTTTAGCTTTCTGTCACTGATCGGGTCCTGGGGCTGACCCTGCGATCACCTGGCCGGGAGTGGCCGCTGCGGGCCTGTAGCGCCTCGGTGAAGGTGACATTGAGCCGCAGGGCGCGCCTTTCAGGGTGGGGGTGGGGGTAGCCCCTTCAGGACCTGGGCACTGTCACACCTTTTTCCAAAAGCACAGTATGCGTTGGTGTGGAACACAGTATACTTTTTAATTTTGTTTTAAACTAGGCATTTATTTTGTATGTCACCTTCACGATTGATTCTGGTACTTTTAGGGACTGCTGTAGGTTGCACTCGTTTGTCCACGTTTAAAGTGGATTTTCATATTTCCTGACACCTAGATGAAAGTCTTACATTTTTAGGTCTAAGAATCAGAATATTACTCTTTGGTAAATTAAATGTCATAGATCCAAGGGTACTGAGTTTTGCAAATATGAGGAAGCTTCGGTTTGGGGTTTTTTTCCGCCTCTTGGCATTAAAGCCTGATTCCTGGTCTATGACATGTGCAGCCAGTTCTTGTTTGCTATCTTACTTTTCCATTATATGTGTACCAAGATATTTTGTGCCTAGAACTGTGTATATAGTTACAATGATTGTACCTTGATGTTGGTCCCTGATGTCAGTATATTACATTATGACATTTAACCCCCAGGTTTGCATATTTGAACATTTCAGAAACTCACAGCTAGTACTTTTGTTCCATTAGCTAGAACCTATGAAATAGATCCTGCTTCCTTCTGGTCAAACTTTTATTTTTTTATAGCTTATCATAAACTATTAAGGCTAGAGCGAGGTTAGAGACAGACCATGCAGGCCATCTTGTTTTATAAAAGAGGAAACCAAGGCATACCTTGTAAAGACTTCTTAGGTATTGATGAAATAATTTTGTTTCTTAGCCATAATTAGGTTTGACACATCCTAACTTGGGGCGTTTTTTTGTGTTTCTTTCCTTCCCCAGTCGTTTAAGTGTTGGACTGTTTTTAATTTTTTCTTACAGCTAGGTTTTTGGGGAGATTTCCTACATTTTTGTGGTTGGTTGAGAGAATAGAGTTTTTTTTTCCCAAATTGAAATTGAAGGATTGCACTTTTCTTAGGCAGCACTTATGACTTAGTGGTAAGGAGTTGCTCTGCTGACCCAAAGGCACAGGGTTCACATCCACCAGTTCAAATCTCCTTCCATTCTATTTACTCCTCTGAAAACTCTGGGTCAATTCTGACTCAATGATACTTAACATTCTTTTTTTCTTAATAAATTTATAAACACATTTCTTTTCTAGATTTTTTTTTTATTCCTCAACCTATATATGTTTTAGCAAGAAAAAGATTTTAGGGCGAGAGAGAGAAAGAAACTGGTCCCAAGAAATAAGCTGGCCTTTATTACATGGTCTGAGAGGGATGCCAAGTGACAAAGAGCAGAGAAAGTAAAAATGGAATGTGGGTAGTGTAGGGTGGCCTCTTTTTATAAGGGTCCTGGGGGACTAGGGAAGATGGTATTTTGCTCAGAATTTGGGGCTGTTAATTAACTTGGGTTTGGGCTTTTGTGATTAGGCCCAGAGCCTTATGGCCACCCTAGATGTCAACAGGTTTCTCAAGGAGTGATCAGTCCTTCTAATATATATCCCAACCACACATCATGATCTGTCCACAAGGAGGCAGTATTAGAGAGATTACCCATTTTCAGACATCTTTGTGTGACCTTGGACATTTTAACCTTCTTGAGCCTTAATCACCTTTTCTCTAAACTTGGAATAGTATTTGGTAGTTGTGGGATTTAAATAATATTATTTAATCCTTGGCATATAGAAAATGCCTAGGACAATTTGTAATTGCTTTATAATCATGTGTTCTGTTTTTGTGTATTATAGATTGGAATTTGTTACCACTGTAGAACTGAAGAGATTTTAAGCAGTTGCAAAGTCCATAACTTAAAGCTATCACAAGCTGATGTCCCAGTATGATGTCCTTTTCCAAGGACTGGCCCCTCCTGACAATTTATGCCCACCAAAGTATGTGGGGCAGAGTCACCATCCCTGCCTCTAAGGAGAACCCTGTTTATACTTTACAAGACAGACTTGTGTCTTCTTTTGACACTTAGCTCTAACTTATAGTAACTCTATTTATAGTAATTCTTTATATAGCAGAATGAAACATTGGGTCCAGAAAACCAATGGTTGCTTGTCCTGGGTCACAATCACCTCAACAGTGATAGGTTTACTTCTAGAATTCTCATTTCGAACTCTTTGCCACTGAATTGGAATCGACTCATGGCTGACCTAGCAGTTCTCAAAGGCTGTAAATCACACAAGAGGAGATTGCATATCTTACTCAGAGCAACTGGTGGATTCAAACCAAGCACAATTGACTTACCCACTAGGCCACCAGAGCTACACCATTGAAATATTCATTCTTTGTGTATTGTTCATGTAGATTGATAAAAGCCAAGAGATAAATGAGCCCCTTAACATTAGCTTTTTTTTTTAAATGAGCTCTTGATTGATGCCAAAAAAGTAGTAAGGAATAATTTTTAGATTGAGACTGTAGCACTGCTCACTTCCTCTAAATTGCTCTTGTTTTTTACAACGCATCTCTTTTCCTACTCTGGAACTCTTAGGTTGAATTAAAAAAACCAACACAACACTTGAGTATTTGTTCAGAATAGCTTGCCGCCTCCTTGTAGGTACCAGTAATTCTCCTCCAACTCCTAACAACCCTCTCTACAGCAGGACAAAACCCTGATGGATCGTGCTCCATCTTCACACTCTCGCCTGTGCTTAAAGCCTATTGTTGTAGTCACTTTGTCCCTCTCCTTGAGGGTCTTCCTTTCTTTTCTGATCCTATACTTTAACAAGTGTGATGCCTTTCTCAGGGACCAGCCCCTCCTGATAATATGCCCAAAGTATGCAAGACAGGTCTCATCACCATTCTTGCTTCTGAGGAGCACTCTGGCTTCATTTATTGCAAAATAAAGTTGTTTCTTTGGGACATCTGTAGGATATTCAATATTCTTTGGTAGTACCACAATTCAGAGACATCAATTCTTAGACCTTGTTTGTTCATTGCCCAACTTTCAGGTGAATGTAAAGTAATTGGAAGTACTGTACTGTAGCTTGGCTCAGGCATGCTTTAAGGTGGCATACTTGCTGTTTAAGTACTTTCTGAAGCTTCACTGGGGTGGTATAGTAAAGATCACTGCCCCCCCCTTCATTAAGATCAGTGTTTTATTTGGTAGAACAGTATTTTGCTTTAAAAGGTGAAGTTAAGAGAATTAATCAAGGTAAGAAGAGAGCATGGTTGAAATTCATTACGTTAGGAAGTAAAGGATGGAACCAGATTTTTTAAAATTTTTAAAAAAAATTTTTAAGGCATTAGCCTCCTTTTGACAAAGGGAAATTTGTTCTCATAAAAAAACCATTTTCATATTTTCAAAATATTCTTCATACAGAAGCAATGGGTTATTGGATATTAGTCACTGGGAGAAAACCAATGGAGACAGCCATTAGGTCTTCATGAAGCCCCCTGTCCTGAATGTGGCAGATGTAGGTGCTAGACCAACCAGCAACATATTAATTTCTGGGACTAGCATTCCTTTAGACAACTTAGTTTATAAATAGTGAATACTCCTAGATTCTAGTTAAATGTTCCAATGTCTATGTTACATTTTTGGTGCCCTGTTCTTAAAAGCTCTAGACCCTTTCTCCGCTTTTTTGGTTCTAGCTTCTTTTATGGCATTTGTAACCAAAACCTGGTTTTAAGGGAAATTTCATGTAGCTAAATCAGACCTCTGAAGTTGCACAGTAATGTTTTGTGAAAGGAAGTTTATGTAGCTATGACTTGATTTCTAAATAGAACAACTAGGGGAAAGTTTAACCAGTGGTGGTAAAAATTAGTATTTCTCTGCTGCAAGCCTCCAGCGTGCTTGGGTCTGAAGTGATCCTGTGCATTCCTATAGTGCTTGCAAGAGCAGTGTTGAAATGGTTTGAGGCTTTGCTCTACACCATCCATGGAGCAAGGTTATAGAAATTTCAGACAATTGGGAAAAAAATTAGTATTTTTCTGGATGCATCTATTGTAATGTACAATATTATCTGAAGTGATTTCACTCAAGAAAAATTATATGTTAATAAGCTATGATTTAACTTTTCTCAGATTTTTTTTTTTAATTTTAATGAAAGTTTACAGAGACTTTGGATTTCCGAGCATTCACTATTGCACAGTTTCCTCCCTGCCTACCTCTCCTCCCCAGTTTGCTTTTCTCTTTGAAAAGTAAAAGAAAATTTAAAAAAAAAAATTCTTTCAGTCCATTTCACTATGCAGCTTTCATTCTGGACTCTTGTCATGACAGTAATAACTAATCATATATTCCTCCTAAACAGTTCTCTCCCTCATCTGTTTCAGTGCAGTATACATTATTTATCCCCTCTTAGTTTCCCCCCAACTCCTATGTCAGACCTGCTTTACAACAGTGGTTGTTGTTTTTATATGCCATTGAGTTGCCTGCAACTCATAGTGATCCTATATACAAGAGCCCTAAATGCCATTCTATCCTGTGTCAACCTTGCTGTCTCAAACACATTCATTCCCACCACTCCACTCACAGAATCGATCCATGCCATTGAGGGTCCTCCTTGCAACATGCCCAAAGTGTGTCAGATGAAGCTTCAGAATCCTTGACTCATAAGAAACATTC